AAGGAGGTGCAGGACCTGCTCCAGTCTCTTCAGTTCCTGTCCTCTGCCCTCTGATGCAGGGTGTGTGGCTGTCACGCTCTGCTCTGATTCGTCTCTAAATATGTAGATGTTATTGTGTGCTGAGTTGGTTCTGACTCATAGCGACCCTGTATAGCATTTCCAAGGAGCAGCCGGTGCCTTTGAACCACCGACCTTGCAGTTCAAACCTACCTTGAGGCCAAGTGCTTATCCTATGGCACCATACCAGGACTCTCATATACACATACACACAGCAGTGTTCTGGCCACAGTGGTATGTGAACAAGACCTGGGGGGGGGGGGGCACTTCTGGTGAGAGGGCCCTGCAGGTACAGCCCTGCTAAGGTGTGGGGCAATGAGACTTGGTGAGCAAGGGGAGAAAGCTGAGAGCAACAGAGGCCTCCAAGCACTTCTCTGGTATGACAAGTCTTCCGCTGATACGGTTCTTCACTACCTTCTGTTCCAGGTTGAATCCCAAAAATGTTCACCAGAGACCTACAGTGGCCCTGCTGTGTGGGCCCCATGTGAAGGGGGCTCAAGGGATCAGCTGTGGGAGGCACCTGGCTAACCATGACGTCCAGGTCATCCTCTTCCTGCCCAACTTCGTCAAGATGCTCGAGTCCATCACCAATGAACTCTCTCTCTTCAGCAAGACCCAAGGCCAGCAAGTGTCCAGCCTCAAAGGTGAGCACTGCCAGGGCAGGGCTCAGGCTTCCCTTTCCCTGGTAGCTTGGTGGTCTGCTGGTGCCACCCAGAGGTTACTGGTGGAAAGACACCATATGTGTAACTGCTGTTCCTGGAAGGAAGGCTCTGGGAAGAACAGAAAAGTGGCATTATGGGTACGTGCTCAGCAGCAGCCAGCAGGTTGGTCATTTGAACCCACCCAGGGGCTCCACATGAGAAAGACCTTGCAATCTCCTTCCCTGAAGATTGTAGCCAAGAAAACTCTGTGGGCCAGTTCTGTTCTCCCCCATAGGGTGCTGTGAGTCAAAATGGACTCACCACAACCACCTCTCCCTCCACCATCACCACCACCACCTTCCCCACCACCATCTCCACTTTCACCATCACCTCCACCATCACCACCTCACCACTACCACCTCCTCTCCCTCCACCATCACCACCACCACCTTCCCCACCACCATCTCCACTTCCACCATCACCTCCACCATCACCACCTCACCAACACGCCTCCTCTACCACGACCGCTGGATATGCAGGTAGGAGTGTTCCTTGTGTGGTTAGGATATGTGGGTCTAAAGTTCAATGAAGAGTTCTTATTAAGTTGTTAAGTGCCCTGGAGTCGGTTTTGACCCATACCAACCCCTGGTAGGGTTTCTGAGGAGCTGCTGGTGGGTTTAAATCGCTGACCTTGTGATTAATAGTCCAGTGCTATATCCTATAGCACTGGACTATTAATCACAAGGTCAGCGATTTAAATCCATCCAAGTGTACAAATATATCTAAGACTACTGTGAGCTTTGATCAGATCCCCTAGAAAGTGAGACTAAATAGAGAAATCCACAGACTGAACTCTTTGCTCAGAAGTCAGGGAGTTGAGAAGCCAGCTAAGGAGACATGGACAGAGTGATTCCTGAAAGCCAAGCAAAGAAAGGAAGGTGTGAGCAGCTGTGCTACTGGGTTAGTTCAGATGAAAACTACATTGACCAAGCGAATGAGTAATGTTCTGTTTCAAGTGGAGTGATGGAACTATGGTGTAACTGCCATCTGAAGAGAAAACAACGGAGAAGAATTGGGGGGAGAAAAAGCCCAGGGAAAAGGCCTTGCCAGAGATCAGATAGCAAGTCAGGGGAGGAACTTGACCTGGCACATCCATTTCCTAGTTCTCAGACCAGGCTCCTGTGGGCACTCGGAAGACAGAATGCCACGTTCATTCTTGAACTCCCACGCTGGCATGTTTCAAGTCAGAGGACATGCTGTGGGTTGCCCTTCTTGGACTAGAGAACATGATACCTCTGTTGCAGACAGTTGTTTCTCTGGCTGCTCACAAGGCTTCAAACCCTAAACGTCCCAGGAGGCAGGTCTAATGACCGTGATCCTGTGTTGGGTCTGGTCTTTGTTACTTTGCTTCTTTGGCTGGCCCTAAACGTCTGTTTTTGTTGACACATCATGTCTTGTTTATATGGCCCCAGAGGCCTGCAATAACAGGAGCCCTTCTAAAATTTATGGGGGAACAGTGACAGATGGTCTGTTGTGAAGGGTGGGCTGTGTGGAAGGCCTAGTCCCATGAGGCAATGAAGGAGACAGAGAGGAGAGCAGTGTTCGGGCCCATCAGCAAACAACAGTCAGGTCCTGCCCTGCTGGGCCCTGGCTAGGGCTGCCATGTGTGCACTGATCAGGTAGAGGCTTGTCTGTGAGGCAGCTGAGAGCCTGAAGCCTGAACAGTTCTGCACCCCTCAAGACAGCACTTCAGGCCAGAGGCAGACATGGCTTCTAGCACTTGGCTCAGTCGGGCTTCAGTCCTGGCCTATTCTGTGGAAAACCAGTCTGGGGAGAGGCAGCAGGCTAGTGTCTAGAGAACCGGACACTCTTAATATCATCTGGACTCTAGTCCCAGCCGGACCTGCTCTCTACTTATGGGAGTTTTCAGGTGCCACTGTTTCTACCTGCAGATCTGCCCACCAGCCCTGTAGACCTGGTGATCAATTGCCTGGATTGCCCCGAAAATGCCTTTCTGCGGGACCAGCCCTGGTACAAGGCAGCCGTGGCTTGGGCCAACCAGAACCGGGCACCAGTACTCAGCATAGACCCTCCTGTGCATGAAGTTGAACGGGGCATAGATGCCAAATGGTCTTTAGCGCTGGGCCTGCCACTACCACTGGGGGATCACGCAGGCCGGGTCTATCTGTGTGACATCGGCATTCCCCAGCGGGTATTCCAGGAGGTGGGCATCAACTACCACTCACCCTTTGGCTGCAAGTTTGTCATCCCCCTGCACTCTGCCTAGAGTGGCATGGAGCAGTCTGGACCCGGCCGACCCTGCTGCTTCTGACACTGAACTTGACAACGAACGCCTTAAGGATGTGAAGCATCGTGGATCTTGTTGTTACATTTTTTTTTCTTTTGGGTATGTTTCTTCTATGAGAAAACAGACCTATTTAAAACTGACCTGTCACCTGGCCTATAGCCTGGGAGGACCAGCGGCAGGCTGTCTGCAGCAGCTCTGTCCCTGCCCTTGACCCACATGGCCAGGTGGGGCTTTGTTTACAGACTTAGGCAGCTCTCTGACTGTGTTTCAGGTTTACAGGCCCCAGCGCCTCAGAGTGGGGCAGGTCCCAGTGAAGGACCTGCACCACCTGTTTCAGCGCTTTGTCTCCCTGTTCCCCTTGCCCTGGGCACCCCTTCCTCTAATCATGTAAAGCCAGCCAGCTGTTCACTAGAGGGCAGGCTTCTTGTCATTCCTCTGAGGGTGTGACTAGGCCTTCCCCAGCCTCCCTCCCCAACACAGATTGATTAGGGGTCTTTTACTCTTTCTCCAGAGTTATCCAGGTTTATGCTGGAATTTTCCCAAGGGTCCTTCCCTCTTTCAACTCCATCCCTCTGAGAGGCAGGAAGCGGGTGGCATCAGGATGGTGTTACTGTATTGGGATTTTATTGTTTTTCTGTTGTCTTCAGCACAGGAAGTATAGGTTTTGTTACTGTAGAACCACAGGGCCTCCACCCCCTCCAGCTGGGGGCCAGGCCCCTCAGGGTGCAGCTTTAATGTTCAGTATTGGGGCGGCGCTAGGGGAGCCTGGTGCAGAGCCAGAGAGGCTCCCTGGTGCTTTTGCCTTAGGCCACCACTTCCCCATATGTACCTGTCCACTCTGTTCACCTCACCCCCCAGGAATGGTCCTCTGCCACTATCTGAGTGGGCACATGTCCTTCCCCTGCAGCTTTGCACCTGCATCTGATGTCCACTTTAGATAAGTAGCCTCGTGCCCTATCTCAGATGCCAAACCAAGGCAAATTCTGGATGGATCCTGCTAGTGGGGCTCAGCTGTGGGCAGACAAATCACACTCAGATCTGGAGGCGGAACCCCAGGACCGGCACCCTCTAGTCCTGAAGGCTGGTGGGACAAGGCTTCAGAGTTCTTTCTGCTTCATGCCCACCCACTCTGGGGACTTACCAAGGACTGTGGACCCAGGGTAGGCCCTGTGCCATGGGGTTCTGGCTGTTGATCACTTTTCTTGTAGGAAGCATAGCCAGAAGCCAATGAGAGGCAGGAGGGCTGGTCCCTCCGCTTCCCCCCTTGCATGTTCAGTTCTCTCCAGCAGAGGTGGGGAGTCGTGTCCTGGGCTTTCTCCCTGAGTCTCAGCTCACTCTTAGGGCTAAGCTTCCAGGACAGGACCCTCTCTTGAGGCAGGGCCAGTCTCAGGAGCAGTGCTGCATGGCAGGCAGTTTAGTAGACAACTGTTGAACAGGTTCGGGCTGCCCAATAGTTAGGAAACCCCGCCCCCCCCCCCCCCCCAGTTGGGTCCAGTGGAAGCTTGCCCAGGAGACTTTGCTGCTCCCATGAGCCTCAGTGGCCCTGGAGTAATGGCCTTGTTGAGGAGCCACTGGGAATCTGTACCCAAATCTCTCCCTCTTCTCCCAGGTGGCACTGGGCCTCCCCCACTGGTATTAAAGAAAAGTATGACTCCTTTATCTTCAGCTCTTTTCAGAGGCATCTGCCCCCATTCCCCAAAGGGCCCAGTCAGGTGGCCAAGACTATCTTGTGTAGTTCTTGGGGAAGGAACCAAAAACCAGCAGTAAAATAAAGCTGAATGACTGAGTCCTGTAATGTGTGATGGATAACTGTGGACTGACATGAGATCCTGCCTCTCCCAACCAGCGACAGGGAGAACAAAGCATGAATGGCTAACCACAGCAGCCTGCTCCCCTTCAAGTCCCTGGAGACCATGGGAGAGAGGGCTGGCCCAGCAGTCTTGTCTCTGGCTAGCCCTCTGTCTGGCCCAGTTCATACTTAGCTCTCCACAAGCTGAACTGCTAAGAAAGACTTTATTAACAAGGTCAGGGAAGGAGGAGGGGAAGGCAAGGAGCCTGGAGACGGACACACGGGTACCAGGGGTTACAAACAGTAAGAAACACTTTATTATAACTTTACAACATATAAATAGCTTGGGTCAAATCTGTGCTTTCTGGCAGCTGGGCACCAAGTCCCCTCCCCTGCAGGCTCCTGCCTTCCTTCACATTGCACTGTTCGCTGGGTGGCTCTGGCCCTGGGGCCTGGTGTTGGAAGTTGGAGAAAGGGGGCCAGCCGGGCAGCCCAGTCCTGACCTCCATTTCCTGTGCAGGGGCCTGCACCTGTCATCTGCTTGGGTTACGGCTGTTGTGGAAGGACCTCTCCTCAGGGGTCAGGCCAGCAAAGAAGGGGTGCAGCAGGGCCTCTGCCAGTGTGATGCGCTGGGCGGGGTCAAACTCTAACATCCGCCTCATCAGGTCGAACAGCTGCACGTGCTCCGGGGAGTCTTGGAGCATGTAACTCTGCTCAGGGACACAAGGTGCCGCAGTGTGACGTCAGGGTCCCGGGAAGCCACAGTAGATCCCCGCACCTCTGGGAAGCCTGGTGGGACTAGAGGCAAGGACGCCTCCTGGGGGCTCTACTTTCGCCCTCCTCGACTGAAAACGAACAGTTCCTTTCCTTTGGTGACTGTTTAAGGCTCTGGTCTGAGTGTCTTGCTGGGTCCTGACAGTGATGGCACTTCACTTGTCCGAGCACCAACGTCGTGGTCGACAGAGGCTTTCTGTCCCTCCCCCTCCCCTCAGTCCTGCCTAGTTCTTCCCAAAATCAAAAGGGGAGCAGGGGACAGATGTAAGCAGGGTCTCAGGCATCTGGCTCTTCTGGTGTCCCCCAGTTACTTGAGGGGGTGGGGCCCCTCTGGAGCAGTTTGCCAGAAGCCCCACTTCCAGCACCCAGCCATCTCAGGTGCAGCCTCCCATGGAGCTGGAACGAGGAGGAGCCTTAGCTGCCCGGGGGACACCAGAAACTGACCTTCAGAGGTTTGCAGTTCTCCTTCACATACCGCCCATCCGAGCTGTTTTCGTCCCAGACCAGGCCCCCTTTGTAGAAATACTTCTGCTTCCTGGAAATGGAGTGGGGCTGTCAAGCATTAGGAAAAACCAGGGGACACGCCTGGTGGGCACTGGGAAAAGGGCCACACCCAGCAAGGCAAAAAAGTCCAGGTCACCTGGAGGAGCCACAGATGTCCACTGAAGACCATCCAGCACCCAAATGACTCAGCCAAGTACAGAAAGAGCCCCTCACCTGGTGCGGTGAATCATGTGTGAAGGAATGGGGCCTAGGATCTTCTCCATCATCACCAAGTGCTCTCGGTTCTCATGGGTCTGTGGACAGACAAGGACAGAACAGGTCAGTACCAACCTCAGTCCCTCATGGAATAAGAAAGATGGGCACGTGCCTTCCTGCTCCACTCCCTATTCCTGGTACCTCGACCCCTCCCACCCCAATCTTTCCTTCATGACCCAACACCCCTGACCTCTCCCTTCCCCAGCATCTCCACCCTGCCTCTCATAACAGGGACTGCTGAGCGTGGCAGACACCTGTCTCCAGTGCACATGAACTTCTCACCCTGTCCCCTGTGGCCTATCAGAGCAGGGAGTGGGTAACACGGGGTGGCCATACCTGGAAAAGCGTGAAGCCCCGGTAGTACTCAAAGAGAATGCAGCCAATGCTCCAGACATCGCAGGGCTGTGCCCACCCCAGCTCTGAAATCCAAGATGGAGACAGGCTACAGTGGGGCAGCTGCCACACTGCCTAGAAGACTTGCCCAGACCCCAGTGGAAGTGCCTCAGTAAGGTCCACCCTACAAGGCCAACCCAGAGATTGCAGTGACTCATGACAATGCCCCATGACCTTTGTTCACACCCTCCCTGCAGCAGCCCGGTTCCTGGGGGATAGTCACTCACCAAGGATCACCTCAGGTGGGCGATAGTGACGGGTGGCCACAATGGTTGTGTGATGCTCATGGTCAAAGGTGGCACTGCCGAAATCGGCCACTCGGATGCTGGTGTTCTTCACCGACTTTTCCTCACAGCTCTGAAGGGCAAGGTGGCCACGTCAGGTCTCAGCATCCGACATACCCCCACCCCGCCAAGCAGACCTCTGCACTCTCCCTCAGTACCTTGTGCTCATTGTAGAGAGTCTCAAACTCAGAATTCACAAATAGGATATTCTCTGGCTTCAAGTCTGTGTGGGTCAGTTGGTTCTCGTGGAGGACTAGGGGTGTGAGGGGAACAGGCACTGAGAATGGAGGCTTCAGCTTAGGTTCTCCTGCTTATTCAAGCCCAGATTCTGATCCTTTCCAAAGCCAGTGGCTGCCAGGCCCCTTACACCCCTAACCCTCAGCAGGAGGCCCAGGAAACAAACTGGACTTAATTCAGCCTTTACATTGGTTTCCCTCTTAGGTATCTCTGTGCTTGGGCCTCAGGGATTTCTGAGACTTTAAAAATTTGGGGTGGGGAGGAGGGTTAGGGTCCCAATTAAGAAACATTCACCCTGCCTCTGTAGGGACTAGGTCTTAACCTGGTCTCACTTTAAAGCTACAGCATGACTACAACATGGTTCCCTGTAGGGACTAGGTCTTAACCTGGTCTCACTTTAAAGCTACAACATGGTTCCCTAGTCTCAGCACTGGCTAAGAAAAATGTGCAGAACCTGCAGGGCCCCTCGACAATGAGTAATGTCCAGAGGGCGACCTCAGGGCACTATGTGACAGTACAGGCCACACCTGAGGCAGCCCCCGTGGACATGAGGCCACTCGGTGCGTTCAGGACACAGCTTCTGGCTGGCACTACAGTCTCACCCAAGTTCCCCTCGCTCCTAGTAAGTCTCCACACCCACCAGGCCCTTGGCTTTCATGTGACTCTTCACTTGGTTGGACTACTCTTCCCTGACCCTCCATCTAGAGGCCCTGGTGGCATGGTGGTTAAAGCACTCAGCCTTGAACTGGAAGGCAGGCTGTTCAAACCCACCAACCACTGCACCTTGGAAGTAAAGCTGTGGCAGTCTGCTCCATAAACAGGGCCGCTCTACATGTCCTAGAGTCCTATAGTCATGATGAGTTGGAGTTCATTGGAATGCAATGGGCTTGATTTTCTGTTTTAAGTCGGTCAGTCTACTCCCTCCACGGAAAATTCTACAACACTTGAGTGCTGGTACCACCTAGCATGTTCTAAAGCTGCAGACATATGAGGAGTGGTGATGGCACTGAGGGTGGGCAATGTCCAGGGGCTCGGCCACATTAGCCTTTTTACCGTATATAGAAAGGTTGGTAACTGAGTATACTCTCTAACAGTGCTTTCCCTTCTTCCTGAGTACCTAGGGCCAAGGCTGGCCCAGAGGGAGGTCCTTGGAGGGGGCGCTAGCCTTTCCATCCTCACAGTGAGACAGACAATCCTAGAGCGGGAAGGCCTTTCAGCCAAGGGCCAGCAGAAAGGTTAACAGTGTGTAATGACTGGGGGAGAAACAGACAAGCAGGTGACTTGGCTGCCCCATGCTCCACTGACAGTGGACACTTACATCTGAGGGCGTGGCAGAGCTGATAGGCCATGTGCCGCACGTGTGGCAGGGGGTAAGGCTGGAAGTTATTCTCCTTCAGGAATTCAAAGGTATTCTTGCCCAGGAGCTCAAAGGCGATGCACATGTGACCATGGAAGTTGAACCAGTCTGACATCAAGACGCACAGGCTGGAGAGAGAGGGGGAAGGGGCTCAGGGCTGCACTGGGACTGCCCCACTCCCATCTTAGATGATGCCAGTCACCACTCCCTCCTAGGCCACTGGGTCACACACCAGGATGGAGATGTAACAGTTAACAGAGTTAGAGCACATCCCCCCCACCCCGACCACCACCACAGATCTGCTGAGCAAAGACTAAACTTCTGACTGGGCTAGAGGAATGCTTTGGCCCACAGAGAGGGTCAGGGTGGAATAAACCCTAAGTCAGAGATGGAATGATGCTCCCCACTCAGTTAAGCCTCCGCTGGGGGACCCCAGACTCAACAGTGCTTGGGGGTGTAAAGAGTGCTCAGCATGTTTGCCCAGGACAGGCTTTCCTTTGGGTGTCTCCTACATGAGCACCCAACCCACACCGCGTCCTGTGTACATCCTGACTTATGCCCACAACCCAGTAAGGTTCCCGTTCACAACTGCAGGGGGAGAGGCCTGCCTTGGAACAAAAGGCCTGCTGGGATGGAGCCTAGACTCCTAGGCATAGAGTGTGGGAGTAAAAGCCACAGTGCTGGGCACTGTAACCTCTCCCCACCCCCAAGGTACAAACAGTTGTAGCTGGGGTGAACGATGTCCCCAAGAAAGCTTCCCTTCCACTCCTTGCCAACACTCACAACTTGTTCTCTTTGTCTTTCTCCTTGATTTTTTTGAGCACGTTGATCTCTAGCCGGGCGGCCTCCCTGTACTTGCCCACGTTGCGGATGATCTTCAGGGCAACCTGAGATTTCCCTCTGGCCAAGAAGGAGGCAGGGGTCCTCATCAGTAGCTCTCCAGCCCTTGCCCCATTTTCCATCCCAACCGCTCACTTCCAACCACCACCACTCATCAGGAGACAGCAGGTACTTGATGCCGCCCAAGCAGCCCCAGACCTCTGCTCTCCCAAAGCAAGCTCCTGTGCAGTCTGTCTGCAAATGCTCGTGGCATCCCCATCTGCCTTCGGTTTATGAAATCTGCCACTGTCAGCTATCAGGGCAGAGTGCCAGTCCCAGTGCTCACACAGTGACCCAGCTTCTAAGCCAGTCAAACCAGACTGTGGCCAGACCACCCACCCAGAACCTTCATGGGCAAATCATCTGCCCTCTGGGACTGGAGAGTACCAAGATGGAGTGAAGGTCTGGCAAGAAAGTAAAGGGATCAGAAATAGGGTCTTCTCCCTGAGGTCCAGAGCCATTCCCTTGACCTCTCTCCTGACCCAGCTGCCTGCCTGCCTCTCAGCCACAAGCATTTATTTACCAGTTCCTGCTGAGTGCCAGGCACTCCTGGCTGAGGATCTACTGAGACCTTAACAATGCCTGCTCTGAACTTCCAACCCCCAAAGCCCATGGCTAGGACGTAAGCAAAGGAACCCTTGGCTCAGGTTCCGTTGCCAGACCCTGTCAGAAGAGACAGCCCCAGCCACAAGTATGCGCCATCCTCGGGATTTCAGTGCCCCAAGTCTGTGGCATCTTCCTGCTCTCTCTCCTCGTCTCATTCCCCCAGAATTACATATTCTCATGGCAGGGGAGAACTCCTGGTGTGGCGCTGTAGGATCAGCACTGGACTGTTAACCACAAGGTCGGCTGTTCAAACCCCCCCAGCTGCTCCCCGGAAACCCTAGACAGAGTCTATGAGTCAGAACTGACTAGACTGCACTTAACACTGACAGGGAACGACCTCAGAGTTAAGGCTACTCACTCTGTTGTCCCAACACCTGGAACAGGAATTTGGCTAAGCAGACTTCTGCCTTCTCACATAACCCCCGCTGGTCCCGACTCTCTCCCTTTGGGTCTGCCTGCCCCTGGTGTCCTCAGGGACTGATTGTCCCCTCCACCTCTGCGGAGTGGCACAGCCTAGAGCGCTTAGCTGCCCTCATGAGTAGGTATTCTTGGATGTGCCACATCTCTACGTGGTCACATGCAGTGGACCTGGTATAGCCTTGCTCTCCTGGGCCACAGTGGGCTTGAGGGATGCTTAAATGGAGCTGAGAGCAATGGCAGCTTCCTCTCAGTCGCCTTCACTACTTTATCTTGGGATTGTGGCTGGACCCCTGGGTCTAAGGGTCCTTTCTGAGCACTCCTTTTATTGTGGTTGTACTGCAACACTGTGATGGCCAGCTCCACCACTCAGGGTGGAGGGCTAAGGGCATATCACCTCTGAAACAGTGTAAGGCTCGCCCACGGACAGCACACAGTATAATGAAACTGACAGAACACAAGTACTTATTGTAGCTAAAGTGCCCATTAGAGAGCCGCTGAGGCACGGAGGCAACTAGCACACTCTACCCAGTCTGTGTTCCCCAGTGCTCTTGAGGAAGGATAAGGGAAAAGTGTTTTATTAAGCTTGGCAGGGAGAGGAGCGGTCCCCAACCTTGGCAACACCCTACCACACAAGGGCATAGCCCAGTGGAGACCACATTCCACCCTCACCACACTGCAGAAGGCAGCTGCCTACTTAGGAGAGCACCCCAGGTCTCATTTTTCACTACTGGAACATGGCACAACCTCTCACACAGATGCCCAGGGTGAGTGTAAGGTACCAATCCCTCCAAGAGATTCCAGGGAGGGAGTACCAGGCCCCAAGAGCCACAGCCTTGGCAGGACCAGTCACTGTCTAGCAAGTATTGGGCATGCTTTGCAGAGCCCCAAGAATTTCTTTATCTCAAGGGCTCAAGAGAACCCCAACACATGCCGGTCAAACCCTGTTTTGGTGCTAGTCCTCAGAAAAAAGCGAGGCTCCGATAACCATGACCTGCAAGGCCCCAGGTAGGCTCTTCCCAGGAGACCACAGCCAGAGCCAGCTGGAGCCACCGGCACCCTCACCTGGCATGGTCCAAGCACTCCACCACCTTGCCAAAGGTGCCTTCGCCCAGGTTCCCCACAATCTCATCTACGAGAGAAAAGAAGCAGGGCATGAGGGTCTGCAGGGCAGAGGGCCGGCGGCTCCTGTAAGTTCATAGCATTCAACATTCTCCAAACAAAAAAGGCTTCTCTCTCACTGCTACACTCTTAACAGCAGAAGCTGCTAGTGGCTGTGTCATTCAGGCAATTACTGGTGGCCCCGCGAAGGCGCCACGCGCACTAGAGGCCCCTCCAGGCAGGAGAGGTCTTGTCTAACAAGGGGGGTAGGAAGTAGAGAGGTAAAGTTTTACGAAAGGTGGCTGTACATCGCTCTTGGAGCCAATCGCCGATCCGGCACACCAGGTGGCCCTCCTTGTCATCTTCCACACTCCGGCTGCTGCGCTTACTGCTCTGTTGGCTTCTCTGCATGCACCGCCCCCCGAAACGCCATCCGACCAATCGCATGGTAGGCGGTTCCGATTGACAGATTGAGGTGTCAGTCAAAGGCAGAGGTGGAGACGGTGAGGAGCCGGTGGGTTGGTTGGTTGGATTTTCCAGATCCCAGCATTTCATAAGGCACACAGCATATATAACGATAGGGATATTGCAAGGGACACGTCAAGACACAAACTGACTTCAAAAACAGAAAAGTCAAAACAGCTACAGGTATGTAAAGAAAACTCGGACATTATCTATAAAGAGGGGCGTCACAAACGCTCAGAAAGATGGCCAGCCTCTGCTGCTGAGAGGCCAGGTGGTGAGGAGAGCCACAGCCCTGATGCCCTCCTCCAGAGAGTCTCCCCCTCCCAGGCCCTCCCGTGGTGGCTTCGGCCAGAGCTGAAGACGCATTGAGAACGGCGCAAGAAGGCAGCCAGCCCAGCTTGGGTCCAATCATCTGGACAGGTCAGAGGGCCACTCTGGCTTTCATGAAGAATGCCCAACCTGTCCTTGCCTACCCACACAGCCCTGCACGCACCCAAGAGCTGTCACGCAGAGCCAAGCTGCTATGTGTCCCCAGACAGCATCCTTGGCCAGAGTTGAGCACCACTACCAGAAACGGCCTTCCTAACCAGGCTCAAGCAGGAAAGGGCGGGCCTCCTTCCTCCAAGGCCCATGCAGGCCCCATGCCAGCTCCTGCCCTGGACTTGGCACCCATGCCGCTCACAGGCCAGGCTCAACCCGAGCCTCACAACGACAGAGGGCACCACAGAGAGAAGCCATCGAGCCACAGAGCTGCACTGCCACCCTGTGGCAGTCACTAAGAGGCCACCTGGCCTTACTGGGCTCCATGACACAGCCTCCCCTCGACTTGCCATGGCCATTCAGAAAAGTCACAGGGAGAACTGGGCAGAGAAGACGCTGGCCGCCTCCACTAACCCTGCTCCTCAGGGGCCTCGTGGCCAGCGAGTAGAAAGCAAAGAGAAGGAAGCACATAGCCTCAAAGATAGACCAACTGGCTTTCCTTCGGCAGGGATCTGGGTGCAGTGTGGCCTCCACCCCAGGAACAGCGGCCAGACCTTGCACAGGCCTGGGGCTCCCTGGGGTTGTAGGACCTTCTGCCATTCCACCCATACCTCGCCTTTGCTGCCCTTCCTGTGAAGAGGCAAGGCTGCAGCGGACCTGGCTGGAGCTTAGCAGGAAAGCTCTCCATGTGGGCTGAAGGACGGACAAGTCCTCTCCAGGGTGTGTGGAGAGGGAATGGGGCAGTAGATGCAGGCCACCCAGACAGAGCACTCAGCTCCTGGGCCAAGCTCTGAGCAGGAAGAACACACTATACAGACCACAAAGTGGCAGCCCTGCTGCTCCCCTAGGCTCCCGGGCCACATGCGCCTGTAGCCAGTGTCTGGAGCAGCCTAGAGACACAGACAGGCTGGGGACCACCAGCACCACAACCAGAGCCCCGAGAGCTGCCATTACCAAAAGGCCCAGAAGACAGAGGAGCTGGAGGACCCAGCAGAGTTGGGCACCTGGACCAGACAACACAAACACACACACATGCACGCACACCAGCGCGTGTGCTCAGGGGTGGCAGTACTCACCCTAACCAACCAGCCTGAGAAAAGGCTATAGAGCAGATGAGGCCTGGAGCCCCAGCCAGCACACTTGGCCACCACTCACCGAGGAGGCACTGCTACAAGACCTGGTGCGGCGTTTGTGGCAGTGATGGGCGTGTTTGCGGGTCCGATATGGCTCCCTCTCCCGTGACCGCCGCCGATGGTGTGATCGAGATGATCCATAGCAATCCTCCCCAAAGGAGGGACTCCGCTCTTCACATCGGTACGTATCGCTGTCTCGCCGCTCCCGGTATCTCCTCTGGTAGGGCAGGCGGTCATGGCTGCCAAGAAAAGGGAGACTGGTCAGCAGAGTCCTTCTTCCCACCAGCCAGGTTTCTGCTACCAGGGAAGAGCTTGCAGACACAGCCTATTGGAGCAGAGGCATCACACAGGTGCCCAAGCTGTGGCGAGGAGGTGGCTAGCTGCCCTCTAGACCCTTGGAGGCTGAGCAGTGGAAACAGAAGTTGCGGTGGCAGGCCTCCGAGGGTGCTTTCTGTAGCCTTCTCTAACTCTAAGCTGACCAGAGGCCGAGACAAGATCAGGGACCAACAGCTAGAAAGTCTGCCCCATCCCCACTAAGGAAGGCTCAGGAGGACCGTAGGGGACGGGCCACATACCTGCACTGCCACTTGGGCCTAGAAAATGGGGAATGTTCTGGAAGGAGGAGGAAGGGGCACTTGAGGACAGAATAAGGGGAGACAAGGCTAGTCACTAACATGGAGGTCAGGAAATGTACGTGAGATTTGGGGAGGCACCCCAAGAGGACAAAGTGGGACACAGGAGCAGTGGGTACAGACAGCAGTCACCTTGATGAGACTCAGGACTGCCCCAAGCCCAGCCCGTTTCTTCTCACCTTCTGGATCGAGACCTGCGGGGTGGAGGCTCCCTTCGGGACAGGTAGCGCAGTCTCCCTTCGTGCTCCCGACTGTAAGACCTCCTCCTCTTCCATCGGTAGCTCAGGTACGGGTCTGGCTCAGGGGAACGGTATCGCTTACAGTGATGCATCTAGGCCACAAGAGAGTGTCCTGCTCAACACACAGCCAGTCCCTCTAACCACAGGATTGCCAGGGCAGCCGAGGCGTGCCTGAAGAAGAGGCCCATTGTTCTGTTTGGGGGGCAGCCCCTCCCAGGGGTTTATGAAGTGAAGAAGAACTCTGAGGTCACACTGGTCCAATAGCAGACAATGGGGAACATGCTCCCTGCCAGTGAACTACCACACAACTGCCTCCCCTGCAAAGCATCACTGACTTGGTGGCCTGAGCATTTGGGGAACTGGGTAAGCTGGGACCAGATACTGAGGTAGGAAGGCAGGGGAGAATGGGGAACCCAGTCACAGGGAGACAGGGGAACCTACTAAGCTCAGAGCCCTCCTTTCTGGGGTGGAGGCAGGGGGGGTCCTAGGACATGACCATGCTGTACAGCCAGACATTAGAGTCAAAGGGCTGTTGGCCTGAAGCCAACAACAAGGGAGCAAGGGGGTAGGGGAAACATCTACAGTTGTCTAAAGTCTAGCTGAAACCTGGAACTGGACAAGGGAATGAAGCCACCATGAGGAGCCACTGATGAGAGGAACAGCCCTGGGAGAAAGTGGCAACAGGACCTCACACAATATTCCCTAGCCCACTTGAGAGTCTGGCCGGGCAGCTCTTGGTCTCAGTAGCCCTTGGGATGCCAGGGTCCTTTAGAGTTCCCAAGTTTCTTGCCAGAGGTCCACTTAGCACCCCTCAGACCACCAGCAGCACTGCAGTGGGCAGTGCACCACCTCTATCCAGCATTACCTTTACTGTCCCCTCTTCTCATTCCCCTGATCTAGGACCTGCTCCTGTTCTCCTCTTAGGAGCAGGGGAGGGATTGACTGTCTGCACAGGGAAGCAAATCGAAAGAGCCACCTCACTATCCCTACTCAGTCGAGACTTGTTTCTGCCACAGGAAATCACCAGGCTGGGCCTACACCAACTGAGAGGTCAACTCCCAGCTCCGCCCACACCTGAAACCCTGCCACTGCCTTCATGGGAGGGCTGGGCCAGATGGTGGAGCCTCCTTCCCAGCCCTTCCCTAGGCCACAGCTAGCCTCCTGTCACAGTCTAAGCACATTTTAGACAAACCCACTGAGGCTGCGCCTTCAATACAGAAAGGTCTTTCAGGAAGAGGACAGCAAGGCATGGAGCACCTTAGTGATTGAGAAAGTCGCAACTCTCTGTTTCCCCAGTAGCAAATGTCTTGTCCATGCTACTGGAAAATCCAGGAAGTGGTACTGGCCTCATCTTAGAGATAAACACTCTGTAAAATCTCAGAGACATCCCTAAGAGCTTGGATTTCTGCTCTGTTTTGATCAGCTGACTAATGTATCACTCTTCTCCTGCAATTACCTCACAGCAGATGCCCAAGCTGTGGAATGAAAACTCTAGTCATATCTCACTAATTAACCCGGAAGACACTCTAGTGGCCAGGAACAAGTCCTCCCACAAGACCAGTGTGGCCCTGTCTCTTCACTGAGCCGACAAAGCTCAGAATGGGAGGACTTAATCTAGTCCACACCAGATCAAAGTCTCCCTCCTGGGACTAAAAGATACCCATGTGTACACACACCCTGCTAGTGAAAAGAGCCCATATGCTAATTTGAACCCTGGCACTGCCACTTCGAGCCTTTGAGCAAGTTACTCAACTGCTCTAACCTTCAGCTTCCTCTTGTGACACAGGGATAATAATAATCACTTGCAAAGTGTTTCTGAGGATGAAACGTGCCTCTCCCAAGTGCCAGCACAAGCCTGGGCCCACCAGAGGTACCGCCGTGAGCTTTTTATTAACAAAATGAAACAGGTTCCAGGTAACAACTCAGGGCTTTGATAAATGCCTTTAGGGCCTTAGGAACATTTTTGTACGTCCCGCCCAGGGGAAGCTGGGAGAACAGCGTTCTGGACAGAATCCCGGACCTAAACCCCACTGCTGTCACTTACTGGCCTCGTGAACTTATACAAGTCACTGTAGCCTTGGTTACCATACCTGGAAAACAGAGATAACGCCACCTCCCAGCCAATTTGGCACAGGAGAAGACAAGCATGAGAGCTAGAAAGGACCACATAGGAGGCACATAGGAGAAAGCATCTCTCCTTGAACGCATCCTAGGTAGGTGAGCTACTGGACCTACCAGACCCCCTCCTCAGCCTCCCGCCAACTACAACACAAGGGCCCACTTCTCATCCATTGTCTCTGATTCTCAAGACCCCAATACACAGGGTATTTCAGGAAGCTAAGGGCTTCTGGGAGGCTCTGGGAGGCTCTGCTCTACACAATGAAAGAAAGAGACAATAATCATGTGAAGGAAATCGAGGATGCCAATTCCTCTCCTTGGAGCACAGCCTTGGAGGCTTCTCGTTTGCTGGTCCAGGCCAGAGAACTGGGCTAACAAGAAATGCAGCCAGCCAGGTCAGCGACTGCCCTCCCAGATCCCCGCCATCCCAGCGCCCCATGGTTATTTTTGGCCGGCGCTGCTCCACCACTGCAACCTCAAACCTGCCACCTCGCAAGCCGCCACAACAAGGAGGGTGAAACGCTCCTCCTTTTCAAGGGCACGGAGGAGGGAAACTGGAAAACCGCCAACTCCGCCTCGACGGGGGCTTGGCTCAGGCAGTTCCCACCCCAGCTCCGCAGCAGGGCCCTCGCACCCGGAACTAAGGCCCAGAGGCTCGGAGCCTAGGAGCAGCCCCGGTATTTGTACTGTCAGCTTGACGTGGCCCCTCCCCCGGGCTGGAGCGGCTCATCATCACAACAGAACACGCAGAGGCGCCTGCGGCCTTAGCTTGCGTCCCTTCCTGCGGCCCAAGGTCCCGGGAATCTCAGAGCTCCGAACCCCCCACCCCCGACCTCCGACCCAAATCGCCGCCGTGCGCGGAGGAGGGATCCAGTGGGGGGCGTCGGCAGGTCGGCCTGAGCCAGAATCAAGCTCCCGGCCGCGTGAAGGGAGGGCTGTGGACCGAGCCTCGAGCCAGGGAGAGTAGGGATCTGAAGGCCCCTCCACGCTATCCCAAGTCCGACCCCGACCCCATCCCGCGGGCAGGAGGAGCAGGGCCGAAGCTGGATCCCTGCCGGGGTTGAGGGAGGGGATCTCAAAGGCTGCTCTAGACCCCATGGGATTGAGAGGTCGAGGTCTGCAGAGATCGCTCTCAGGGGGAAAAGCGGAGGGTCAGGGGTGAGAGGTCGGGAGCGCGGCCTGCGGTAAGCAGAGGAAGAGAATGAAAGGGAGTGGGCTGAGACCGAACTAGGATACCCGGGACTCGAACCAAGCGCGGCCACCCATCCCAACTCACCTCCCGCCGCCGCCGCCGTCGCGGGCCGGGGCCCACACTCACCGTCTCCGAGGCTCTGGCTGCGGCTAGGCCCCACTCCCCGCTCCGAGCACCTCTTCCGCTTCCGGCTCCGGCCTCCGCCCGAGGCGGCCCCGCCCCCGGCCTAACGCGGCCGTCGCCTGCCCGGGAGCCGCTCAACTCGATGTTCTGGCCGCTCTAGCCCCCGACTCGAAGGCTCTGGGGGACCGTCTTACACTCACCGATCGCTGCGGCTGAGCTGACGAGAGCAGTTCCGGGAGGGCCGAGTTGTGGCTCTGACTACGTCTCGCTCCGCCCCCCACCGTGTCGCGTCGCACGTAAACCCATAAGACAGGTGCGCGGTCCCGGGCCCGCGGGCTTCTCGGTGCCCACCGGGGGCGCTCCGAGCCGAAAAGTGGAGCTTCTCCCTTGCCCGCCAAACACTTTACTGTAAGAGGAGGAGCAGTCATTGTTTCCCTGTTCCAAGAGGAAATGGGGTTCTCTGAGGTCGGCGGGGCTTGTTTAAAAACGTCCGCCGGGCCACGGGGACTAACACAACGGAGATCTAGGTACAGAGGCTCAGGAAAGCAGCATTGACTCCCATTTGTGTGAAAAAGCAAATCTAAATGCGTTTAAGTCACTATGTGTACATGACGATCAATTTCTGGGACTCCTGGTGAAGCTCTGTAGGATCAGCACTGTACTGCGAATCTAAAGGTCGGCAGTTTAAACCCACCAGCTGCTCCTTGGAAACCCTACACAGGGTCGCTGCGAGTCGGTACCGAATCGACAGCACTTAACAATCGAGAGCCACAATGGTGGTGCCTCTAGGAGGGGCCGAGTTCTAGGTTGGGGGGGAGCTTCTTTTCCTTGAGGACCCTTTGAGCTTCGTATCGCGGCCAGCATTGTTTCTCAGTAAGCCCCAACCAAACAAAAGGCCCACGCCGTACTGCGGCCAGGCCCCGCAGGCCATTCCGCCTCACAACTCCGCCCAACTATCTGTTCAGCGCAGGATTACCAAGCCCCACTTTCCAAATGAAGCAACCGAGGACGGGGGGTGGGGGGGAACCATTGAGAGACCACACAGTTTGCGAGCGAGCACATGCAGCCAGCCAGGTCCGGGAATAGCGTCCCCGCCCCCAGGCTCTCCCAGGCGTCGCGCAGCTAACCGTGAGGGCGCGGTCCCTAATTGTCCCCACGCCCTGCGAGCCCTAGAAGCTCGCGGTCCCGCCCCGCCGAAGTTTGCGGGGTTGGGTGTCTTTCCAGGCACCGCCCCCTCGGGACACCGCCCACACCTGATAGCCTGGGTTTGCCTCGCTCCGCAGGGGGCGGGGCAGAGGCCCGTCAGCGTCTCTTGCCTGACCCCGCCCCCTGGTCACGCCCCTTCTAGTGAGGGCGCCGTCTCCTGGACCCAAGATCTCAGCAGATGCGGCGGCATCTATAGTGCCTCGCTACTGGCTCCGTCTTAAACTAGAGTTAAATGACGTGGCTTGTAAAGTGCTGTCGAGTCGATTCCGACTCATAGTGACCCTGTACAGGGTTTCCGATAGTGACTGATGGTTTGAACTGCCAACATTGTGCATTACTTATTCTATAGCTTTGCTGTTGTTATGTACCGTGATGTCGGTTCAGACTCATAGCGGTTTCCGAGGCTCTAAATCTTTACAGGAGCAGAAAGCCTCATCTTTCGAGGAAAAGCTGGTAGTTTCGAACTGCTAACCGTGAGATTAGCCCGATTCGTAACCACTACGCTACCAGAGCTCCTTAGCTAACATTTCCCCCCGCCCCACAATCGCCCTTTGGTCCAACACTCTCACTCAAACTAAACAAGAAGCTACGTGAAAACTGAATGCTTGCTACAGTTAACGCGTCCTCAAGACAGGTCCCTAGTCCTACTTCCAATCAATCAAATGTTCCTCTCCCGCGCTCCCACCCCCATATATAAATCCGAGAGCCACTTCACGTGTTCAGTGGATGACCCAGAAACTGGTTGTTTTGGCCTTCAGATCTCACCCTTTCAAGGTCTGGGAGTTTTAAAAATGCCCGGTGTCCCTCCTGCTCCTGATGCTCCAATGTTTGGTTGGCCTAGGCCGGGACCACACCAGCCTGATTTCATCGTAGGGATTTTACCCAATCAGGCTAGGTGGGAGGACTCTGAGGTCTCCGCCTACCACCGCCTAGTGTTGCCCGCCGTTTCCTAGGCTCCAGGCAACTAGGCCTGTGGCCCTTAGAAAGGCTTGTATTGCAACACTGTCCTGAGCACCAGGCTCTGAGGGCGTAAATCACACCCATATTCCTATAAACCCCCCGCCCTGGAAAAACCAGGAGCCTCTCAGGAAGCGGCGGTGTTTCTGAAGTGGAATAGGAGCCATCTCTCATCTCCTTACCTCTCCAGAATCTGCAGTCAGGCAGCCATTGTGCCAGAAATTCTACCATTGGGTTTTTATTCTTTTGTCTATTTCTTCCCCCAAAAGAATGCACACTGGAAAAGAGTGAGACAAAGAATAAAGTTGGTTGTTAAGTGGCGTCAAGTCAGTTCCAACTCACAGTAACCTAATAGAGGGTTTCCAAGGAGCAGCTGGTGGGTTTGAATTGCCAACCTTGTGGTTTTCAGTCCAGTGCTGAGCCTACAGCGCCAGGCCACAGGCAATTGGAAAAAGATTTACCCTGAGGTGAAGTAATTCCCCTCACTCCACCCCCATATCTCCAAGTCCTTTTTCCTATGCTGCCTGACACAGAGTCCCTGGCAACCCCTGGCTAGGGAGCTCTGGGTAGACCCATTCCAGAGGTTTGTTCCACAGATGCCAAGTTCCTTTCCTAGATCTTAACCCTTGCCTCCACAAAGTCCTTCTTTTTCTTTTTCTTAGTTGTGATTGGATGGAAGTTTACAGATGAATTGGTATTCCATTCAATAATCTCCACCACGTAGCAGTGCTCTTCCCACTTGCTCTGTGTGTTCACTGTTTCCCTTCCATCTTTTCTGTCCCTGCCTGTCTTCTGAGCTTTGCTGCCCTTTTGATCTCTTAAGGTTAATTATTCTAATGAGTGTGTGCCTCCCTGGTGTTACTGTTCACTTCATAGGGACTGTTTATCATGTGGCTGATAGTTGAGTCATGGGATGACCTCAGACTTGAAGGGTGTTTCAGACTTGAAGGGTGGCTCAGGGCCATAATGTCCATCAGACCAGTAAGCCTGGACTTTTTCATGATTTGGGTTTTGTTTCACATTTTCTTCCACTCTCTCAGGATCTCCCATTGTGATCCCTTTCAGAACAATCAGCAGTGGTAGCTGGCCACCATCTAGTTCTGGTCTCAGCGTCATGGAGGCTGGAATCAACCATTTCCTTTCTGTATGAAGGAAATGGCTCAAGGGCACCCAGGACTTACTTGCGCTGTCCTATGCCCAACCCCCAGCCACTTGGACCCACAGCTCCTCTCTAGGATCCCACCTTGCCCCACTTGGTCTCTCCTTTGCCATCCCCCAACCCCCCAGCTTCCTCCAGGTCCCAGATGCTGGAATCTCCTCATCTTCCTCGTCCTGTTGCCTTTGCTTCCCCCACCCCCTTTACCTTCTCTGGGGGCAGTTAATTCACCTTTAAGCCTCAGTCCCAGGGTTACCTTTTTTGGGTACCTCTAAGGCGAGTTGGGCTCTCCTTCCTAGTGGTCCCACAACTCTCTGCTCCTGCCTGTCTCAAGTCCTCGGGGGCTATGCTAGCCCCTCTATGCTGACTCCTAGGTGCAACAATCTAGCTCCCAGCCCCCAGCAGAATGTGAACGCTTCTGGAACCAAGCCAGCCTTATAGCAGATTCTCCTTGAGGCCTGGGAGTTGCCCATGGAAAACCCCTGATCTCTAACTGGAAAGAGAGACTTAGACTGGAGTTTGGGGTGCTATGCAGTGTGTGGAGGTAGGGGCAGGGGCAGACCTCATGGTCTATTTTGGAGAGGCCTTTGGGAGATGATGAGAGGTGGCAAGCCGACTACAGGAACCTGAACCTGGAGGCAGGGGAGAGGAGAGTCAAGGAGCTGAGAGGTGAGTGGCAGAAGCAGGCCTGGGGATGTGAGGGGTTTGGGAAGGAAGTTCCTCCCAGAGTTCCTTCCTCTCCTTGGGTGGCAACAGCCTTCTAGGACTGGAGTCGACACCCTCTGTGCCCTCACTGAGCCTGGGCATGGGCCAGGTGCCCATAGTTGGGGGGAGAGTTGACAGGACTCTGGGGCACAGACCCTGGAGGTGAAGATGAGGCAGGGGAGGCAGAGCGTGAGGAGACAATACCAGCTGAGTAGCCCCTGTCTGCCTCCTGAGTTCCCACAAGCTGGTGGGACATGGGGCTCAGGGCCCCCATCTAACAGCTGAAGTTACTGAAGCTGGAGAGGTTCCAGAGCAAGGACTTTTTGAGGGCTTCTGATCCCACATCACAGCTAAACTATGTATTATTGTTGTTGTTAGAGGTCATGGAGTCCGTTTCTACACACAGCAACCCCTATGGCAATAGAACTGCCTCACAGGTTTTCTTAGCTGTCATCTTCATAGAAGCAGACTGCTGGGTCTTTCTTTCAAGGAACTGTTGGGTAGATTCAAACCACCAACCTTTTGGTTTGCAGCACTTACACAACCACTGTGTCTAGAGAGCTCCTTCAGTTAAACTGTGCTGCTCCTTCTATGTTCCTCTGACCCTTGTCACTCCATCAGACTCCCACACCTGCTCCTTCTATATTCCTCTGATCCTTGTCACTCCATCAGACTCCCACACCTGCTCCTTCTATGTTCCTCTGACCCTTGTCACTCCATCAGACTCCCACACCGGAAAAGGGAGCCTTGTGGGGCAGCACAGTGGGGGATGTAGGCTCTGGTGCTGGACAGTGCTGGGTGGGAAGTGCTTTGGCAGTGACTCTGCAGTGACCTGGGACTACTGACTGCCCGATGAGCTTCAAGTCTACTGGCCCATCCACACCGTCTGAGCACATGAAATGAGATTACATTTATCCAGTAAGTGGTCTAGTGGGTAGTTAGCACCCACAGCTCATGAAAGCCATTGGAATTGAGAACCGTTTTGTGGGGCTAAGGCTGGGGTTGATTTGAAGGTGGAATGACTAGAGACAGTCCTGATCCAGGGGTTTAGAGTAAAGTTCATGCTGACCCCTAGGTCCTCAGTTTCCACCTGAAGAGGGGGAGTGAGACTTTGTCAGCGCCAATGTCTCTGGTCTGCTCTGCTCT